ACATTCCTCATTTAAAGTTCAATAATCTGAGTTAAAATCAGGGGGCATGCTGTATACATAAGTTAAAGGTATTTATAGAAAACAGCCATCAAATAATGACCTAAGATGCAATCAGAAAGAATGAGTCTGCTACGTTTTGTTCTGTTATTTTGGAGTTAAATAATTCTATATAGAAAAAAATAGCACTGGTATTTCTCAAAGGTTGAGAATGGGACAGGTAAAATTACTTAAGGATTTATTTGAAGGACAAATAATATATGAACCCAAATGCCTGAATTGTCTAGCCCAGACTCTTTACAAAATATTGCTTTTCATCCCAGGCCTCCTGGGTAAGGAAATTTTTTTAAAATGCTTTAGGTCTCAAAAGAGTTGCATAAGCAAAAAGGTCTTCCTTTGTACAGTGGCCTCTGATTTAGTAGAAAAAAGGGCTAATTTAATATATTGAACATCCAAATCAAAACTGAAGTAATTTTTAGTTGTTCTGAGGAGCAATGGGATACTGAGGTAGGGATCCACTGTTTCTGTTTTTCTAGTTTCAAGATGTGATTTCTAGATAGCTACAATTAATTTAATAAAGGGGGGAAAGCAAATGTATATAATCAAAACAATTTATTTTAAAGTGAAAATAGAAGTAAAACTTTATCAAGTGCACTCAAAAGGGACAGGGCAAATTTACTGGATTCTGTGAGCTGTGATTATTGAAACTGATTTGCTTCACTTCACATCAAGAACAATTGCTTATCATTGATTTGAATTCATACAGTTTCTGACCTCACAATGTCAAAAGACTGAAGATGAATTTTAGTTAAATTTACTTCTGCCACCAGGGGCATGTAAAGAACAGAATAAGGGAGTCTTGAATGTATATTAAACTATTTACATTAAAAATTGACATAAATCTGAATTTAAACCATGACCACTCAAGAAACAGACTATGTTGCAAAGGGCCTGGTGTTTGGATACACTATACTGAGCTTTGTGCACTAGATCCTCGAAGACAGAGCGGTGTTTGCATACTGTCCAAATCCTAGAACACTGTACAGTACAAGTATGTCTTCTGACTATTTGAAGTTGAAGATTTTTTCATTTGTGTGTCTTGGATTCCTTTTTCTGTCAAATGACAGTACTTATTTTAGTCATTATCAGATTTCTAAGCAGCTCACAGATAAGAATAATTTTTCCCTAACTGAGAAATGTGTAGGTTTATAGGCTCTGTTTTGTGTCATGACACATTGAAAAATCATTTGAATTTTTTAATGAATATGAAAATTAAAAGATGGATTATTTCAGGAAGATATGTCACTATTGTTGACAACATCTATTGCCTTCTTTGTGCCAATGCATTTGTAAGTTTAATACTGTGTGACCTTGAAACTTGCAGACTAAAGAATACAGTCTGCAGTAGAGAAGAACTGGCTCTAGCATACACTGGTTGGCACCAAAGTAAATAGTATTTAATTGCTTGAAATACTTCTAAAAGAATAAAAATAACGTGAATTTTTCCCCGTGACTGACAAGAGGTTTTCCCATCCCTTCTCCTTATGTCCTTCTTTGGTTTTGGGGCAGCTCTCTGTCCACTGAAGTGCTACTTTCCAGAAATCACAACACACTGAATAATTCCTCAGTTGAGGCACAGCCTGCTGATTTGTAATGCTGTCTGTTCATACTCATTTCAAATGACTGTTCAAACAGAGCACTGAACACCCACATCTCTGCTGTATTCCTTCAGCAGTACTTAACAAACCGGTTCCCCAGAATCTGCAGTTCCCTTCACTGAAGGGTTGCTGCTCCATTGTGCACATTGTACATTGTGCCACTGCAACAGCGACATTCACCTCAGCAAAATCTGTTTATGACTGGGAGTATTATACTATCAAATCACAAGTAGCCAACTCAGCTTGTAAAAGTTGTCATCATTTTTTTCTACAACAGAGAACATCACAGAGCAAGCCTCTGCATATGAATGTGCATATGTACGTGGTACTGCACTTGTCTTCATTTAAAAATGAGTTTGATGGGGGAGGAATATTTCCTCCCAATGGTATTTTTGTTCTCTTAGAAACTATCTAAACTACCTTCCCAAAATCCTCAATAATTATACAAATGAAGCCTAGCAAATACTCTACCTTCCTGTAATGTAGCTAAAGGAAGACAGAGTGATGATGATTTCATTGTGTGAGTGGATGTAATGGTACATCTAGATCTTAAAACAGCAGCAAATCCAGTTGTAGAAGGAGATGGTAACAGTAACTGTAATCAGTGTACTGCTATATAAAAATTCGTATTTGAGTTTTGAGAACTTTGAACTAATTCCTGTGTGTGTGTGTAGGTACAACTTGTAGCCCATAGTTGTTTGTGTTTTTTTATCACCCAGAGCAAGTGTCTGGATGTAGATTCCTTATTCTGCCACACAATAACCACTCTCTCTTAAAGCTCATGGGGCTGGGGAAGGGGAAAGCAGGCTCAATATACAAGAAGATTTAGCCTCTGCAAAAATGCTGTATTCTACTAGACAGTGTAATTAATGAAAAGATTTAGGAGAAAGAGCCTATGGAGCTCTTTAAAGAACAAAAATGGGACATTTATCTGCATTATGTCCCGTGCTGCATTTCACATTTTCAGCTGGCTCAGTGTCAATAGTAGCTTATGATTCTGTTAGCTTTACACAGAGAGAAAGCATACCTAGATGATAGATGTCACTTGTGGATTTTTCTTTGTCTTTTTTTCCCGTGCACTCAGTCTGCAGTGTGTTAGCAGGTTATTCTCCTATAATATTTCAAGATGTCTGGCAAATGTACTGAGATAGTTGGTAAATAGGTTTATATTCAATTTACAAACAGTTCTGAGTAGTTTAGTATACTTATGGCTTCTGCTTATGGCATTGAAATGAGGTGAACAAGTGGATGGCATGAACTCTATGAAAGAAAAGAAATTGCATGATTTTAATGACTGAGGCACAGTGGAATACGTAAGACTGGTAACTCCAAGAATAGCAGATCATACTCTCCTGTCATGGAATGGTCTAATTTCAAGAAATGGGTTTTAAAGGGGAAGTGCTTGGTATTTTGTGCTTCAGCAGGTTGGCCTTTCCTATAGATACCTGAACTAAGGAGATCAGCTTCATAAACATTTGATACAAGTGCACTTTTATCAGTTCACCCTTCCACATAATGCCTGTCTGCCAGAGTTTTTCTTGACCAGAGAAACCTGAAATTAAATTATGCCAATGTACACACGCCAGTCATGTTTCAGTTACAGACAGATAACTTGTGAAAGATCAGACAGAGAAGAGTTTGCTGCACCAAGCAACATAACAGTGTGTTGCTTTACCTAGTCTAAGCCTGCTTTAGCCTCTTTTGCTGATAGAATTATGGAGTCTTCAGAATTATGGATGCTGATCATCACAGCAACAAGAATGTTTGTAGAACAGTGACATGAAGGAGGAGTGCTTGGAAAATACCTCCAAACTTAAGTTTCTAATTCTGATTATATGTTCTTCAGCGTGATTTTTAGTAGTCTCTCTTTTCATATATTTCAGCATGACTGTGAGAATATTCTAGTTGCAAGGAGTTCTGCAAAGGATTAAACAAAAATAAAAATCTTCACTGGGGGGCCTAGGGGCTTGCTTCAAAGTACAATCACTTTTTGTCCTTTTGTGGGTATGCCTGTTACATTCCTTGTCTGAATTCTGAGGACTTGAATTTATTCCTGTAAGTAATTTGTGCTATCTACTGAACGTGCTTCTCATGGAGTGAGCTGATCATCTTAAGGTAGGCCACTGTATATAATTTTGGTTTTGTCTTTATGTACACAGTCTGTAAAGAACACAGCTGGGCAACTACTGTGTACTTTGCCAGCATGCACTAAGAACGCTGGAGCATCTCTTCAGTTTTGATGCTGTTTCTCAGATTTTAGCTTCTCGCAGCAGTGACTGGCTGCATATGGAGATGTAGCTGTCTGTCTTTTAATGCTGACTTGAAATTGTAACTGTAATGCAGACCACACACAGTTTCCCGTAAGAAAAATAAATAAAACATCTTTCTTCCCTTCCAGGCACTGTTAAAAAAAAAAAAAATCAATGTAACTCTCTGTAAAGTTATAAGATCCATTAAAGACAGCAGCTTTGTTTGAAATAGCAGGAGTGTATCTTCATTAGTTCTGCTGTATTTTGTTCTCAGGTATGACTTTGTTTTCCATCTGAGAGAAGTCCTAAACTTAAACATAAGTTTATTATGGTTTGTTAGTATTTGAGGTGTTTATATTCATATCGCAGAAGTCAAAATTGAGTGTGATGTATATCTACTGAGTAGCTGCAGAGATCTGCTTCAAGTCCAAATGTTTGTTCAAGCTCAGTGAGCAGGAAGCCTTTTTTTCCCTTCTTTTTCCCTACATCTTTCCCTGGTGGTTGTTTTGCTCCATATTCAAGCACCAAGTCTGAGACACCACTATGGAGAGCATCCAGAAAAATTTGGAAGAGCAGCTTTTCGTTCTCTGGAGCTCTGACCCCAGCTGTGGTTTGTGGACTGCTGTTTTGCCTTTATTGGCCCTTTTGATGCCATCTTAAGGTGAGAACAGACACAGGAGCAGTAGGCTACTATGACAGTTGTTTTTGAGGTGCTTTTTGATCATGGATATGGAGCCTGAAGCCATGACACAACACACAAACACACTTGGAGTGTCCTCATCTCCATTTCTGCAAACCCATGTAGATTTTTACATGCTAAGTAGCCATGTCAGCAGGAGGTGGTCTCTGTTCAATGTCTTAATGAAAATATTAACATGATTTATAGTCCATTTTACCAGTCACTGCACAGGGGTGGAGTGTATCTGTATCAGAGGGAACTTAACAATGAAACAGATTTTCTTCTTAGGAAACTGTGTTTAAGTAGACTATAAATGGCTTTTCTGATTCATCACCTTGAATAATACTTTCAGCCCCCTGCTTTTAAAAGTATCCTTAATATTAATGCCTTCTGAAAACTGTATTGGGCATGGGAGCTGACAAAAGAAGCAAGGAACCTCACTGCTGTGTCTTTTCCCCAAAATGTAAGTTAAGTTTTGTGTGTCATTAGTTCTCTTGCCGTGAGTTGTGAGTGACTGTGGGATGGTGGACAGCATTTCTAGGTGAGCCTTCTAGGTTTCACTGTAAATTTTAACATTGTCTGACATACAGAGCAACATATAGTCTCTGTTGATAAAGATATATTAATCCTCTTAAAAGTGGTTGAAGCTTAGATGACTTCCTATTTAACTTGCTTAGGCCTTGAGAATGGTAAAATCTTGCAACTTCCTGGAGTCCAGGAATCGGTTCAACCAGTCTGTCCTGATAGAAACTGGTTTACTCATGTATTGAGCCTTTCCTGAGCCCTTTCCAACATGTGTCATAGGCCAGGAGCTGAACTGTCACCTGGTGTGTGTATATCTCAAATGCAGAATCTCAGTTCAGTATGATGGAGCTTTAATATTTTATGATTGTATCTTCTTACTAACATTGTTTTCCCCCTCTTTTTTAATGATAATCCCTAGTTTCTAATGTCCCCACCGCATAGATTCACAGGTATGTTTGTGGATTTACTTTAGTTTCCATGCTGAATTAGATTAAATCTTCCTGGACTGTAGCCAAAAGACACCTGCAAAGATTTTACTGTCTGATCTGCTTAGTCCCTCTGTTGTTGTGACAGTTTGTCTCCTATGGTATCCAGATTTTTTCACTTGTGATGATAAAGAGCTTCAGCTCCAACTCAGCTTCCAGCTGGTTCCTCTTGTCAGGTTCATAACATAGGCAATGCACTTAACCCAGCTATTCAACTATTATACTTGAAAACAGTTTTGCTGAATGAAATAACAGCAATGCTTCAACCCTCAATTAGGCCACTATGTTGTAATGTTTCTGCTAATCATGCTGATTCCTGGCAGGCTCTCTTGGACCAACCTCACCATGTCTTTTATCTTTTATATTAAATCTAGGACATAGTATGGTGTCGAGGACAGCTCATTATATTTGGGCTTTGTCGGGTTTAAGATGTCTCTGTCTTGGTGGTTACAGAGAAATGTGACCAGGGAGAAGCATGTGGAGTTTGGTAGCAATCCCCATAGTTAAATAAGGCAGACAGCAGCTGCTGGTCTAGGGTTTTGTGTCATGGCTGATGCGTTTTTTCAGCATCTGCTATTGAGTCTGGCTTAATCACTGGACCAGATCATGTGTTTGAAATGGTAAACTGGAGCTTTCAGCAACTTGATCCATGTAAACGATAAAGTTCATGCCTGGGTTTTGTTGTGAAACTTGCCCCTTTTTTGTCTGGCTTTCTTCTTGGATGTTACTAACTGGAAAAGTTGTTTCTGTCAGCGATTATCTTGGCATTTATGAGACGTACGATAGGGCCTCAGTGTAATGGGAGATGCTGTTTATTATTGTACAGAGTCTGATATTCTGCTAAGTTCTTCTTGAATAGATTAGTTGTATCCATGTTCATTTTCTCAAAGGGAATGGGATGATATATGGGATTAGAAGGATTCAGGGATATTTCCTAAGCCAGCCATTGGCAACTGATGCTGTACAGGGAGAAACTCTATATATTCTTGTAAAATGCTATACTGTTGAAATAACAGGGGCTTGGTTAATCTCCTGGCCTTGGCAATGTAAATGTTGTAGTATTTCACATGGTCTTGGGATTTCTGGGATTTGAGAAGAACTGTCTTTTGTATCCTTTTTTGACTGTCAGCAAGAAGCCAAAGCTAAGGAGTTGCCTGTTCCTCTTTACTGTTCTGAAATTTCTCCTGGAAGGTCCGAGTAGATCAATACTCTGTGATAGGACCGCCTTTTCTTTGTTCTACCTGAGACCTTATCTCTGCTATCAACAGGTTTAAAATCTTGTCCCTGGCAATTATGTCGCTGGCTTCTCAGCCTGTTATGGGTGGGGAGGTTTTTCCTCTTGTATTTATCCACAGAATTCATTATTCCACAGGATTCATGTCACACGGGATCAGGGGAAAATATTGCGCTTGGAGGGACCTCTGAAAGTTTCTGGTCATGAAACCACTCCATAAATAATGATATTAAATATACAAGCCAGAGAAGGAAATGTGGACACCCCTTATGATAACAGTAAACATTAAAGGCAAAATAAAATAACCCCTGTGTGTATGCACACACATCTGCAAGTGTAATCATCTAAAATTCTCCTCTCCAAGGTGAGAAATTCTGATGATCAAACAGGTTTTCCCTTACCCACGTTTTTGCTGCTTGCACAGCACTGATTATAATTAGTCCCTTATGCAAATGGCTTATGAAGCCTTGGGAGGAGGAGGGTCTTGGAAAGGGAAAGGAAGATTCTTAGAGAAAATATCAAGAGATAAAGAGAGGTGTCTAGGTACTTGGACATAACAGATGTTTGTCCTTCTCCTGCCATGCACCTCTGAGAAGAGTCTGTCTTAGCCTGCTCCTTTTGATGCTCCACCATCCTTGTGGCCACACTCTGGCTTTTCTCCAGGCTGTCAATATTGCTCTTGTTCCAGGGGGTCCCCCATCTGCATGTGTGGTGTTCCAGATGAAGCCTCAGGAGATACTGAGCAGAGGGTAACAGTGCCTTCCTTGTTCTTGGCAGCCACACTCTTGTTCAGGATGTGGTTGGCCTCAGGCACTACAGGGATACACTCCTGACTCGTGTTCTCTGTCTCACTGGCTGGGACCCAGCCCCTTCCCTGCAGGGCTGCCCCTGGCCTGCCAGCCCCAGCCAGTGCCTTGAGCTTCCTGGGCTTCCTGACAGGTCACTCCTCCAGCTGGCAGGGGCCTTCTGAATGGCAGAGAAGGACCTGTGTCGCTCTGAGGGGTTGGGACCTTCCATCATGCCATCAGCTCCCTCTAAATTGGTGTCACCTGAGAACCTCCTTGAGGGTAGGTTCTTTTGTCCTGTTGATCAGCTTGTTGCTGCAACTGTTAAGCAATGCCAGCCCCAGAAGTGACTCATGAAGAGCACCACTTCTATTTGCCAGTCAGGAAAACTTTGCACTGTTGGTCAATAGCTTTGAGCCCAATGGTCCAGACAGATTTTCAGCTATCTTGGGCACTTCCCTGCCCAAGGAATTTCTGGCAGTTTCCTCTGATATCTTTAGTGGGTACCACCTTTTTCTCTGTAGTGTTTAGGTTTAGTACTATATTAGCATGGGATTTCTGGCAAGAACTTTCTGATACACCAGATTCTACTTAGACCAGAAGCCTGATTGTGGGCTTCCCTTACTAATAAGATGATTATGATAAATTGTTCTCTTTACTCTGAACCTACTCTTGCAATTCTGATGGTAGGTCAAAGCAAATAAAAATGTTTATTTAGGGAACTCAAAATAGCACAACTGTAAAGCTTGGAGAGATAACTAAAGAGAAAAGAAACTAAAATTATACCTCTATTTGACTCACATTAGCACCCCAATTTCATTTTCTAGCACAGAGCTATTTATTAAATCCATTTGGACTTACTGTTTCTTATAGTCTAAGAGCAGTTTTTACCATTCTCCTAGGTTATGTTCCCTAGTTTTGGGAATCCATATATCCTTTTGGCGTAGCCAGATACAGCTACCTGTCTACAGGTAAACAGGATCAGTTTACTGTTATACTAGCTCAAGGCTAAACCCTCATGCAGGAGTGAGGTATAATGCATGAAGTATAATACCTTGCACTGTTTCCCTGACTGCAGGTCTAGTCATGAATTCGTGAGGGTCTCTGAGTGCAGATTAATTTTATGAGAACCTGGCTGAGCAGGATCCAGTTGTTTCTGAGGAGCAGCTGCCACTGTGTACCTGGCCTTTGTGTAATACCTCACTCCATTCTGACCCTGCTGTCTCCTGCGTGGGAGAAGCTGGCAGGGCAAGTGTCAATGAACCTTTAGTGGGACCTTTACTTTTCCTGTATAGATTCTGAGATGTCCCCTGCCACAGTACTTCTGTTGGTATTTTACAGTTCGAGAGACTTTGAATGACGAGTTTGCCCAGTGACAGCTCTCAGTACAGTCCATTGTGTGTATACATCGTTTTGTATAAAGCATTTCAGCTGAGGCAAATTTTTTCATCTTTGGAACTGTTGCAGAGTTCTACTTTGTTGTTGTTGTTTGTTTGACCTGTTTTAAAAGGAAAATCTGCAGGGAGAATCTTGCTTGATGACTAACTATTTGTTTGCTAATAATCTTTTAATTTTCTTTCATCAGTTAATTCCCTCACGGTTAAAATTTCAAAGCTTCATCTACTAGGATCTTCTAGAAACCCCACTATCTCTTAATTACCGTTTATCTTCAAATCCCTACAAAACAGCTGTAAACCTAACTTCTATTGAATGTCCTGGTGTTTTGGAGCTTTTTTTGAGTTAAGGCATATGTATTGACAGTTACTCCTAGTTCTACTTATGATTTGAAAAGTTAGCTTCAAATCTTAAGTGAAGTTTACTCTCACAGTTAATAACTTACTGTAACTTCAGTAGGATATGATTTAAGGTCTTTTGAGGGCAAAGTAACCATTTCCCTTGCACGCTTCTTAGAATCATGAATAAAGTTGCTTATTTCTGATAGATTTGGTGTTTTATCGGGAGTGGAACCTTTCATACTGGCGTGACTTTGCTAACAATGTGGTGTTCTCTCTGGTTTTTTTTCTCATTTACATCTTTATTAAATAGCCTATGAAATTACTTAATTACACGCCATGAATTCCAGTAGTTGCATATCATGCATGGTCATCCCTTGTAGGCAGAGCTTTTCTCTAGGGAAGTCTAAAGATGCTTTCAAAGAAACTCAGCCAAAACCAGGGCTTTTTTTGGTGTGCTAGGTTAGTTTAGGCTGATGTTGCTGTCTCAAGCTCACATATGCAGATGCACATTCATATCGTAGAAAGCTTTCTTAGTTCCAGTTTATTGCTCTATATGGACTTAATTTTCTACAATCACTGTCTCATCATTCCTATACTGATCTATAAAGAGTTGAGAGTAATGCATCTTTTTAGGAGCTCAGGTATTAATACAGGTGATTCTCTCAGAAATAATAAAGAGTGACCTGGCTAAGTCCAGG